TGTTTTATAATGAAATTATTTGATAACCTATTATTTAAAGTGTAACTTTTCAGAAGCTTCGTTAGGGCAAGTATGATATGTGATACAGTTAAAAATTATTTTTGTAGGATAATTAATAATATACTTTCTGATTTCTCTGAAGAAAGAGAACAAATTGCAATTAAATGGCTTTGTGAAGCATTTACTATTTATTGATTTTATTTTGTAAATAATAAAAAGTACAAAGAAGCTTCACAATATCAATAATGAACCTAAATATGGCTTAACATGTAGTGGAAACATTGTAACAACTACATAAATAAGTAGATGATGAAGTAACCAAGCATTACTTATTCAAATTAATAATGGAGTTTAGGAATGCCTTCTAAAAATATACTTTAATATTATTAAGGACTTTGTCAATCTTGTGATTTTCCTTGACCTATGTATCTTTCAAAATCTTTTTCCATTCCTCTGTATCGAAGGCTTCCCTGATATTATTGCCCTGCCAGGCTTTCTCCCTTCTCATATTTCATTTGGTCTTCCTTTTTCCATTTACTTCAAATAATAATACCACAAATACACTACACACACAAATAACACTACATCTTGTTAATCTTTCAGGATACATTCTTTAAAAAGTCCGAACCAGTGTAATATTTTTCCTTCAATAACACAGAATGTTTCTTTTCACTTCCATCATTTCTAGAACTCTATTCCATCTGGATTATCTTAGTTCCCCTTCTCCAGAAGTTCATTTCCACAGTTAATACACCTTTAAGGTGTCTCGCATTAATGATCTATGTTTCCAAGGTGTATATTGTAAAAAGCTCAAATATAGATTTGAGCTCTAGAGAACACTGTTTAGCATTGCAGTGGTTATTTTTCCTTATTAAATTGTCTGTCCAACATCACTGGAAAAGATGTCTTAATTAATGGACATTGGTCCCAGACATATGAAATTCTTCATTATTTTAATATCTTATTCCATTCGAGTATCATCGGATAAAGTGCCAAGGCACTATGTTTTTCTTGTAAAGATTTCTCTTTAGTTTTCAAAATATTTATTCTTGGCATTTCAAAGTAGTTTTCAGTTAAAAATAATATTTTAATCCTAACTCATCAATCATTAAGAAAAAAAAAATCGAATAATAGTTTTATTGTACAATTATTAATTTGTTATCAAAGAAATCGAAGATGTGTAATTACTTAGAAAATTTATGGTTAGAAACCAAATGGGTCCTTCTTGAATTTTGGATGACACAATTTATTACTGATTTTAGGATACTGTGCCAAGCTCAATGAATTTGAGAAGGACATTAAGCCCATAAGTTCTTAAATACGTGGTGGCTGTGGCTGAGCAGGCTAATGTGTGCGCAAAACATGCCGTTGGCTGGAAACCTAATAAACAGAATATTTTGCAGTGGACCCATGGAATAAATCTTGACTTTCCTCTGGTCACAATAGATTTGATAATACCTTTAGAATAACTACTCCCCTCTCATAAACCGGTAATGGGGAGATAAGGGGTAAAGGGAAACAAAAGAAGTCCTTATGTTCTTGCGGTGGCATTACAGAAACTGCTGAGTGTGTCAACACAACTTACTTTACAATAGAAATATAAATGAAAATCAATACAGGCCATAACACCGATTATATAAGCAGAAATTAAAATAAATACCTACACATATACATAAATACAAAAAAAAAAATTAAAGCAAACAAATATATTAAAAAACAAATAAGAAAAGGTGAAATTAAATCTTTGCTACTTAAACAAAATGATAAAGAAAGAGTAATTAAATTAATCATATAAACAAACATTCTAAACTAATAAAGCAAAATATAAATAAGTAAATTGTGAACTTCTGTTATTTAAAAGGTGTATAACTAACTAAACATAATTATTTACAAGATGTAATAAATAAATAAAGATAATAGTAAACTCTAAACTAGGGCTCTGTACAAAGTAACATGAAATATGCTTTCATATTACTTAGAGAAAACTGAACAAAAAAGAATGTATAAAGAACTATTTGAACTAATTGCAGTGGTGTAAATAATCCCAATTCTAAAGGGAAGTAAAGCTGTGGGGGAGGGGAGTGGAGTTTGCATGGCAAAAAATGGATACAAAGCTAAAACCAAGAATTGAAATTCAATGAAAAAACAAAACAAAAACATTTTAGAAGAATTATTTATTAATTTGTAGTGAGCATTACTATGTTCTGTTAAGTATGGAGTTTGAAAAAAACTTCAAGGTAAAGTAGTATATATGGATTAAGGGTAAGATTAGTTTTTATCTGAAGTGAAAATCTTGTATTAGGGCGAAGTAATTCTTAGTTATTCCAATGAACATCTAAGGAAGGAGTGGTGTCAAACTACTTTATTCTTTTTCCAATTAAATATGAATGAAGAATTAGGATGGTATGGAAAAATGAAGGGTGGAGAATACAAAAGAAATACAATCATAAACCCCAGCAGTTGGCAAATATTGGGAGATGTGACAAAGGTTAATATAAAATGATATGAGTGTTCAAAGCATCAGAGGAGGACAGATGTAGAACACCATACATAAAGGAATAGCATAGTTATCAGTTTAATAATTGTAATATTATATAATTTTTACCTACACAGTTCACTGAGCTTTTTGGAAGTTATTTTAAGTAAACAACTGCAAAATATTGGGGAATAGCGCCCTGCATAAAATATCAGAGAAGGGGGAAGAGGAGGTAAAAAGTGCCTTATTATGTGAACGGAAACCTTTTAATGAAATGCTTTGACTTTTCTAGTTTACATCTGGAAAAAGTACAGTTATATCAAAATAATTGTAATTGGACATTATAAATATACCTTCATAATTTAATTATTCTTCCTACTTCTAACATATTATGAGGCAATAAAAGACAGATGTTTCTTTTTTGAATGTTGAATATCAAATTTATAATTGATGGATATGATATATTCTTGTTTGGCATGAATTATAAAAGAAAATAAATGAGAATTAAGAACATGTTTTATAATGAAATTATTTGACAACCTATTATTTAAAGTGTAACTTTTCAAAAGCTTCATTAGGACAATCATGGTATATGATACAGTTAGAAAGTATATTGTTAATTATCCTACAAAAATAATTTTTTAGTTCCCGACTAAATTTTTATGTACTATTGGCTTGCTATTTTTATTTTACATAATTTGTACAATATATAATATTAAAAAAACTGTAAACCACAATACTGAAGGCTTTATAAGAAATTAAAAGTTTTGATGACATATAAAGGTATTATTTTGCTGGTACTACCCACCATGCCAACTGCTAAAAGTTAAACATTGCTTTAGTAGAATAGAAAGGAGCCTAATTCGCAACTGTGGACTTTTTCTATTCCACTAAAACAGTGCTTAACTCCTAGCAGTCGGCACAGTGGGCAGTTTTAGTGAAATAGCACCTTATGTCCATAAGAAATCTAATAAATATTGAACAACTTCTTTTCGCAAATAAATAAAAATATTAAAGCTACACTAAAAAAATAGAAACACTGTAATACTGACGATTGAATGACAAATCAACTTTATTGGGATGGTTTCAAAATAGAAATGGTTTTATAATAGTTTTGAAAATCTAATATGAAAAACAACCAATGAAAAAAATAAAATAAAATAATTGTTTATCATTAAAAATGATGAACACTAAAACATGTTTGATGTCTTATCAAATATACATATTTGCTTATATTATTATTAGTAACATTTTTGCCATGAACAATAATTTGGAATTATAACAGCAAATTTGTGCCCATGTATCATAGGTTCTCTGACTACCAGTGTTTTTTTTTATATAATGTTCTGATTTTTTTCAGGTATTCCAGCTCTAGTAGATGCTTTGTGTTTCAGATAAATTTTAATATTCATTCCTACATTGATATTAATTGTTTATACAAAGAATAAATTTATAATGAATTGGATTTATACTAACTGTTGCATCAAAAAAGTTTTACATTGGAATTAAATATTGATATCATGTTAATGTACATTGTATAAAGAGAATGGGTATAAATTTAAAACTATATATATATTATTATTATTATTATTACAATAACCATTGGTCTGAATGTATAATAAGGGTAAATGCATGAAAAATATTTCAGTCATTTATTTTTCACAAATAAAGTTTAAATTTATTGTAATAATAATAAATATTTATGTGAAATTTCATTCATTAAAACAAACCTCTCAATATTCTGCCTCTTTCTTGTTTTCTGCTCACATAATTGTTTATTGTAAATCAGTATATGGGTTTTAATTTCTCTTTGACTAAAGTAGTGTACTGCTTTTGTAGTCCATTCAATGATTCTTGATATAAAATTTGAATCTAGAACAATTTTATGTTAAAAAAGGATTAATTATAGATTAAATTAAAATAAATAAACGTTTTTAAGCAATATAAAGACAAAACATATCTGTGTTTTTGATTGGTACAAAATTATGTGAAATATTATTTAATTATAAAATTTTATTTATTTGAAGAGTTCATACATAATTTGAAATAGAATTCTAAAATTAATGTTTTGGATAAAATAAGAAAAAGTCCAAAAATACTTATAAGTAACAGTTATAAAATAACTTAAAGGTAAAAAATATTTTTGAAAACATCAAGAATGATTTAATACCTCCAAAACTAATCGAAAAAGGCGGGAGAATATAGAGAAAAAGCGGGAGAGTTTTAACACCTGCCCTTGTAGTTCGTTTTACCGACACGGATCTCCATTGTCGCTAGTGTCTGATTCGTGAACGACACAACTGTTTACAATGATTTCGGAAAGAGTTTTGTTGTAATTGGAAAACTGTTATGACATATTTAGCTAAAGACTTGTGTCGTGCTTCTTTAATCAATGGTACATAATTTGACTAATTTGTAATAAACTTAGTGTTATTCTTAAGTTGTGCTTTTGCTGCCGTTAATCACCAGCCATCTTGTTTTGGTTGATTTTGTTTATGGCGACTGAGAGTTCCAGGTAACCATAGTGGCCCTTTTCTTGGTAATTTTATGGTGTTAACGGTTTACGACTTATCATCGTTAATGACAAAGTTCCAATTGACCTTCTGACGGAGTATCAATTCCTGGAAGATGTCAGTGAAATGTGTTGTGAATAACTACTACAAGTATATATTTTCGTTATTCTAAAGTCCTATTTACGTTTTATAAAGCTTTATTTGTCTGAAGAAACTAATACATATTAAAATTGACATTCTAAACAACAAATAGTCATCCTTAACAAGTTGATATTTAAATTGACATTTCAATGCTATTTTGTCAAATAAATTTGTCAACCTTTAATCACTCATGTGGTAATGTGACATCCTTTTCAGATTGATAGGATGAATTTGTATATTATTTATCTAATATTCATTTATAATTTTGACTTTAACCCTTATCTCAAATCCTAGTTGTTAATATGATAACTATGTATTGATTGTAGGAAGAAAATTAAAGTCACCATGTCTTCTTATATTCTACAGAGGTTTCTCCACTACAGGAGTATGAGAGAAGTATTTCGAAGACTGTAGTGACCTAAATGTAAGAATTTTCCTTCCTTTGAATGTTATCAGTTGTATCGTTATCAAGTTTAACTAGTATTCTTTTTACGCAAAGGGTCGGTGTGATGTTTACTAAATCTGCATGGAGTATTACATCATGCCGCAAGTAGACAAAAGTGCGTCTACATATTCTCCTCCTGTGCAGTATGTTCCAGCGTTGCCATCAAGACCAGAACTCAACAAGGTTAATGAACTTCTTTTCTTATCAGACTTGTTGCTTAAAATGTTACACATGACTATATCATTTTGTTATGTGCACAGTATGGAGTTTCAAGCGATATTCTCACTAGCTGTGATTGGAGTGCAGTTATTCACCGTCCTGCGGAGGATTCTGAACCAGAAGATCTTCCATCAACGGTGGACATGGATGCTATCAAGGTAATGTGTTTATCATGTGATAAGGAGGTTTTTTCTATTTTGAAGGAAATTAATTGATAATTTAATCTTTGATATAGGAACCTGCTACTCCACTACCTCCTTTGACACCAGTCGCTCCTCCAGTATCTGAGGATGAGTCAGAATCTGATGAAGAAGAGAGCTCTAATTCCGATTCTGATAGCTCATCTGATTCGAATTCGGAGTCTCAAGTATGTTGAATGAATTGTATTATTATTTTTAGGCATAATAATAATAAACATAATATTGATATTGATATTGTTGTCGTGTTTAGGGGTCGGGTTCTGGATCTCGGAGCTCTGATAGTTCAGATGAGAGTTCTGGCAAAAAGGAAAGTTCTAGCAGTTCAGAATCACAGAGTACTGCTACAACTTTTAGTATAAGGGAGACCAATTTTGACCAGGTACATTATCCAGTTCAATTAAAGTAATTATAAAACTTGTTACACTGTTATATATTTTAAACTGATTAGTTTGGATAAATATATCATTGTTGTATATGATAAAGAATGTTCTGACTTTTTTTAGGGAGGTCTCAAATTGAAAATTTCTGCTACAAAGCCTAAAACTCCAAAACCAAGAAGTTCAAGTAGCTCCTCTGATCCATATGATTCTTCATCTTCCGAAGATGAAGGATCCGATACTAATCGTAAGAAGCCAGAACCCACATTACCCGTTCGAACACCGCGAAAAGAAGACAAAGAAAAACAGTCTATAAAAGTAGAAAAGAAAATCGAAAAACTTAGAAGAAGGCCTAAGGTGCCATCTGTTAAGCAACGCGCTCTACGTAAAAGACCACAGAGCCGCCCATGCAGGAGATCTCCTCGTGCAAAACCAAGCAAGGTATGTGGCAAATCTAATTTATTATTATTTTGTATTTTCGTGAAGTATAGTGCAGGCACTTTTATTAATGGAAATATAGGGGATGCACTTTTATCAAGCTTATCAGAAAAGTTATCATGTGTCAAATTATATAGTATTTTTATATTGTTTGATTTTTCTTACTGTTAATCGTAATATTCTAATCCTGTTTCATTAAAGGTATTATAACTATTGTAAATGTCGGTGATTCTATTAGGTATCAGGTAGTGGATCAGTAGACTATCGATAAAGTCTATTGACCAGCTTTAATTGCATGATTGACTAATTATGCACCTGTTTTATATTATCAATTATGATACAATATCCATTTTCTAACATATAGTTTCAAACGATATTAAAATTTTATTATGAAGTAATATTTCGAAAAATTAGTTTAAAGTCATCTTTATTTTATAGGAACAACTTAATACCTATGAATTAAATAAAGTTCTGATTAATATAAACTATTTTAATATACATTACATATGCATAAGTATATGTATCATTTATCATATTAATGCCTACAGCATGCACGGGGATTCATAAACTTGTCTGTTTGATTAATTAATTAGCTACATTAATCTTACAAGTTGTTTTTGTAAATTTATTTTTCTTAAAATTATTAAATACAGTTTAATCACTTGTATTAAATTGAATTGATCTTTTGAAAATATTTAAAGTGTTTCAATTAAATGAATTTTTCCATAACATTTATGATATTGATTTTAACATTCTAAAAATTAATAATAAACTTGAATAAAAAATAAGTTGTTTTTAAATATTTTTTTTTATTCATAGTTCATTATTAAAAATGTCTCAATATTAAGATTGTTAAAGATTCTAGGTTATATGATTTAGATGTAATAATAATTAAAAATATAGTCTAGCCAGAACCTGTTGATAATTTTCATCAGAAAAAAATCATTGAGATAATAGCTGGGTTTAATTATATTTAAAATTAAGCAGGATTTTTTTTTCAGTTTTTATTTAGAAAACGAGCTGTATAATTTTTGAATAGTTTCTCCAAGATATTTTGACATTTAGAGAGTTATGACTTTTTCCATTTTTTTTTTTTTTTTTTTTTTTTAAGGAAGTGACCTCAAACTATTTTTTTCTGAATTCTTGACTGATATTTTTCAGTGTCAGGTTAAAATTGTCTATGAAATATTATACCATAATCTTTTATGGAATTCCTTTTTTTTTTTAATTTAGTGAAAATATATTTTTTTTTTACTTTCTTCAAGGTTAAAATATTGACCTTTTCTCATTTTACTGAATTATTTTGGATCTGTTAATGTTCAATATATTAAATGAAAATAATGTTTTTTGTTGTTGGTTTTTTAAACTTAATTACATTTTTTAAATAGAAGAAGTGATAAATGAGGATCTTGTTAAAATTCTTCATCACTATAATTAAGAAAGAATTATTATTAAAATTCTCTCAGAGTTAAATGTTTCTGCTTAAATGATTTATTGAACCGCATTTAAAATAAATTATTAATAATAATAGTTGACTATTTGCCTAATGAATAAAAAAAAAATCTTCAAGGATAAACTGCTAAAAGTTCTTATGTTTACGTTTTTGTCGAACCCTAGAACGTTTACTTGCTGTTTGCTAATTATTCTTTTGTGATTGGTTCATTATGTATTTCTATTAGTTTACTCCATTATTTTAGAATTATTAAAATTTTAAGCTAATCTCCAATAGCGGATGCAGGATTTAATTTTGTGGGGGCTTCTGCCCGAAGGTTTTTTTTTTCATAAAAATAACGATAATTACTTTGGAATAAAAGAAAGAAACTATCTATATGAAATGGTATTTAAGCGATTCCTAAAGTTCTTTTAAATGTAATTACACGAACAATAATACTTTAAGAGATAATTTTTTAATATTTTTTTCCATAAAACATGGTTATATTTTACCATTTTGGGGGGACTTCAGCCCCAAAGCCTCCTCGCTCCGTAGATCCGCCCTTGCTAATCGTTGAGATTTGGTGATTGTGTGTGAACATGGAATAATGTTCAATTTGCTGTTCTGTTCTGTCTTGATGATGCCTGTGATTTGGCAAAACGTTGAGGGATTTTTTTCTTTGCCTGCATTTTAGAAACACATGGTTGAAATGTTTCATAACATTTAAAACTTTTAACTTCAATTGAATCGGTTATTTCAGAAACAGCCTATGTGTAATTTTTGCCAGTTTTTAGTTGTGACTTGTTCTGAGTTGTTATTCATAGATTAATAGATATCATAGATCTTTTGATGCAAGGAAAAAATTATATAAATAGTTTATAGATTGATAGTTGTAAATAGTATAAATGTACACCGTATTGAAGGTCGTCAGTGGAAGGCGGATTTACGTTTTAGAACACCCTGGATTACGATTATGCAATTTTTAAGGATGTTAGTAATATATATATAAATTCTTCCCCCCCCACCCTTACTTTTCGCCAATTCCAACGGTACCTTTGGACCAAATTAGCTGAATTATGCGTACAGTGTGTTTTCCTGAACAATACCTTAAAGTTCGTATGAATTTCGGAATGTTCAATTTCCCCCGGTTTTAAAGTTTACAGCTCAAACTAATAAAGTTGGGAAATTAAAATTTTGCATTTATATTAATTTGGTGTTTTGGCGCCTTTCGCGTATTTCTGTGCCAGCCGCCATTTTGTTTGCCGACGGATGGAAAGATTTTTACAACCTTCCTAAATTCATTCCCTTAAAGTCCTTTTTAGAAGAAATTTTGGTAAATTCAAAGTTTTAGTGCCATTTATTCCAGAGATAATGGCGTTTTGAATTTTTTATACATGTTCCTTTGGAAATTTTCTCTCCTTTATTTATTTATTGTTTTTGTTAGTTCGAAAGTAATCTATAGGAAGATTCCTAATGCTCGTTTGAGAATCGTTTTAATTTATATATAGCTTAATAAAGTAAATATAACTAAAACTACCCAATTTTAGGGAATATATTTTTCTCTATGTTGTAAGGAAAGTCGTGTGTATTAATTTGCAACGCTTTAAAATTCTGATCAATAAAACCCCTTTTCATTCTTTTTTCTATAAATAATAACAGGAAAATGGGACCTCAGTGACGGAGTTCTGATGTTCATGTTTTGATGATTCTAAAAAAAAATTAATGTAGACTTCTATTTTTGAAAATTGTAGTATAAAATAGATTTTTGCGTAGTTTTAATAATTGTGAAAACTGTCCAATATTTTTATAGGCCACCTTTTTTCTCGTAGAGTTTTTAGTACCTAATTAAATAGACAATGTTTGCCTATCTCCAGTTTGTAAATGCCCCAATTCCGAGAATATTCGTAAATAAAATAGTTGTTGGTTACGATGAGATGAAGCTATTTACGAAGTTTCAGGCGGATGTTAATAATTTTATAAATAACGGGTCTTTGCCACCGGCTATCTATCTACCGAATATCTATTACCTATAAATTGACTTTAGTGACTTTTTGCATCAAGTGATGATATTTTCTATTTTATTATTATTATTTATTGTAACTGAATACCCCAACTAATTCCCCTATCATATTATATACATTCAATTATTCCTTCACCAGTAGATTTTCTTATTATTTAGTTCGTTGTTTTTACGTTTCTTTAAATCCAGGTATAGAACTATCTTTTAACACTTTTAGGGCAGAACCCTTTTTATTTTTTTCTTCCTTCCCGAATTACGAAGGAACTAAAAAAAAAGACATTAGGTAGCCTTTGTTCCGTTGCTCCCCACCTGCTGACATCCGCTTCCTCGCGGTAGATAAGGTGATTGACGGACTACCTGAGGAACTCCTCTTCCCTCTTGTTCTGTTGGCCATTCCCATTCCCAGAATCGACCTTTATTGCGCCATAAATCTCTTCTGTTCCACAGACCTTGGTCGACTCCTGACCTAGGCCACGTACCCCGCCCGTCGGTTGTCCATGCTACATCTGGATCATTGTCTCCAGTTCTCCAGGAGGGTACCGGATTCCTTTGACTGCGGCTTGGGTACCTACCGCGTTTATGCAGCTGTTGAATGGAGTACATTAACTATAGAAGTGGCCGTATTTCATAGTTCTAGTTACATTGTCCGCAAGTTTTACCGGGTTGGGTTCACTTTTATTTTCTTACCGCACTTGTTAATAGTTCTGTAAAACGATTATTAGCTTCAAAATGTTTTTTATTTAAATTCATCCTGTTTAAATTAATCTTGAAAATTATTTTATTTAACTAGCTAGTCGATCAAAAAAACATAATAGTATGTTGCGTACTCATATACTTTACAATGCTTTAACCAATTTATTTAAGAAAATACAAAAAAGATTTGTTCTTGTTTTTTAGGACTTAGAGGCGTAAAACCCCGAAGTCATCAACTCATATCTAATCTTCGTTTCAATTACCTTAATACTAAATTATTTTGGAGAAAAAAAAAATTGTTTAGCAAATTATTAACTCTAAGTAGATTCATCATTATTTAAAATAATTAATAGTTTCGGCGTAAGGCCTAATTTGGTTAAAATTGGTATGTGATAAGAACACCTTTGAATAATGTGGCTGACTGTGTGAGTACTGTAGCAGTATACAATAAAGAGATGTATTTACGAATATATCGTAAAAAAATGAAGGAACTATCTATGGCGATTTCTGAAGAAATAAAAAAAAGTTTTAAAATTAAATATTACTGCAATTAATTGTGTTATTTCTTATCTTGTTTGATCTTACTTTTATTTATTTATCTATTACTATATAAGATTTTTCTTGGTGTAAAGGTTTGTACCAATAATTTTCTAAAGCCCTATAAAACATTTAGTCCATGGTAAGTACCCCCCTTTTATCAAATTATTATTAACCTGAAACTTCGTAAATAGCTTCATCTCATTCCGTAAAAGTTCGGGAATTAGGGCGTTTTCAATTTAAAGGGGGGGGGGCAAACTTTGCCTATTTATTAGAAACTAAAAACTCGTAAATACCCATTTGTTTTATATAAACTTGGAT